GGTTTAGATTGAACACTCGTCAAACACGAATTACATATCAAGGTTGGTTGTAAACCTTTCCGCCAAGCCCCTCGACGATTCTCGACCGAAGTTTAGCTCGGCATAAAGGACGAACTCATTCGACTTTCAAAGCTGATTTTATTTGGACAGCTCGTTCCGTCAAATGGTTGGCGAATATTGTCCCAGTTTTAGAGAAAATCAGTGTTTTACGTATTTGCACTGATTTTCGTAATTTGAACTTGGCAACCCATAAAGACAAATATACAATGCCAATTTCAGACTTGTTAATCGATGTTGCAGCAAACCATGAGATGTTATCTTTCATGGACAATCATGTTGGTTATAACCAGATTTTCATTACTGAAGCTGATGTCCACAAAATCGTTTTGCGTTACCTAGGGGCCCTTGAGACCTACGAATGAATTGTCATGCCTTTTGGACTTAAGAACGCCGATGCCACATATCAACGCGCTATGAATACTATTTTTCATGACCTGATTGGCACAATCGTTGAGGTATATATCAATGATGTCGTGGTCGACGCACCGCCAATCATATTTAGACGACCTTTGGCAAGCTTTCCTTCGTATGTGCCAACATAACCTTAAAATGAATCCTGCCAAATGTGTCTTTGATGTATCGGTAGGCAATTTCCTAGGTTTCCTTGTACATCATCGTGGCATCGAGGTGGATGAGAATAAAGCTCGAGTGATCATTGATGCTCCACTCCCGACAATCAAGAAGCAATTACAATCCATACTTGGCAAAATCAATTTCCTCCTGCCGTTTCATTTCTAATTCGGTGGGGAAAATGAAGGTTATCTCCATGCTCTTGAAACTTAAGGATTCTGAAAAATTCGAACGGTGCGAAGAGCATTAGGATGCTTTCACGCAAATCAAGGTCTCCCTCACTACTCCACATGTCCTTGTGCCACCTCAATACGGTAAACCCCTTAAGTTGTATATCTCGACTACCGAGGAATTTATCGGCTATCTCCTTGCACAAGATAACGACACTGGGAGAGAGCAAGCCATTTTTTATCTAAGTTGAAATCTTAACTCAGCAGAGATAAATTATTCAGCCGTCGAGAAACTCTGTTTAGCTTTGTTCTTCGCTGCATCTAAGCTTCAGCATTACATGCTCCCTTTTGTTACTCAGGTCATCACTAAGATAGATGTTATTCGCTACATGCTCACTCGACCGATAGTAAAAGGCCAAATTGGGAAATGGACAATGGCACTATCCGAATTCAGTTTGCAATACGTGCCCTAGAAAGCTGTCAAAAGACAAACATTGGCCGATTTCTTAGCTCAACATCCTTTTCCATATGGTTTCGGGGGCAACAACGTTGAAATTGGCATGGTGGAAACACGTGATAATTATTGGATGATGTATTTTGCTGGCTCTAGTACCTCGACCTTGGCTGGCGTTGGAACGTCTCTCCTGATCACTACTGGTGGTATTTTTTTCTCAAGCTGGATTTCAACTGTACAAATAATCAAGCTGAATACAAAGCTTATCATCGGCCTTAACGTCCTTCATGATTTGAGGGCAATCCATGTGCTCGTTCTTGGCGATTCAAAACTTATGATTAACCAACTCAATGGGACTTTTCGTTGCATGAATTGTACTCTGGCGACCTATCACATGGTTGCTAGCCATTTAGCCAAATCCTTTGTAAGCATTACATTCAAGCACAGTCTCACAAGCTCGAAATACTAATGCATACAAACTGGCTCAAATATCATCCGGAGCACAACTTTTGGGGGGTGAATTAGGCCAGGTCATACCAGTAGTGCGACGTCCACACCCATCCTTGGTTAATCAGCAAGTTCTAAAAAATGACCACATGATCCGTACATGAGTTATGTCCCTACCTTTGTTGTTGGAACAAGAGGATCCTATAAATATTTGTGTGGTCAAGACTTTACCAGACGATTGGAGAAAGTCAATTATGCAGTATCTTGATAATCCAGTGGTAACCACGACTGCAAAACAAGGGTAGATGCCACAAATTACGTAATGTACCAGAATAAGCTATACCAAAAAAGTGAAGATGGTCTGTTGCTATTGTGCCACGGCCTAAAAGAGGCCACCTGAGCTATTATAGAAGTACATGAAGGATATACGGGGCTCATCAATCTGAACACAAAACACGATGGTTGCTCCGTCGACACTGGCTATTTCTGGCTAAGTATGTTGAAAGATTGCATCGAATACACACGAGGTTGTGTACAATGTCAAATACATGGGCCCTTACAGAGAGTACTGGTTGAATTACTTCACTCGGTCACCAAACCATGGCTGTTTAGAGGATGGGCCATGGATGTAATCGGCAAAATGACGTCGTCCTCCAGATTAGCAAAGTATGCATGGATACTCGTTGCAACAAACTACTTCACCAAATAGGTCGAAGCGAAGTCATACGACGAGTTAACTTCTAAAGAGGTCTGTAATTTTGTAGAAGAAAATATCGTGACAAGATTTGGTACACTAGAAACAATTATAACAGGACAATGGCACACTTTTGACAGCTGACAGGTTTAAAGAATACGCGGCGAGTTTGAAAATTTGGCTCGATCATCCATGCCGTATTACTCATAAGCAAACAGACACGCCGAAGCAAGTAATAAAGTTTTAATCAGTATCCTTGAGAAAATGATAAAAGAAAAGCCTGGTATGTGGCATTTGAAGTTAAACGAGGCATTATGGGCATTACTAAACTTCACTACAATCAGCAATAAGGACGACCCCATATGCGTTGACATATGGACATGACGCAATGCTACCGGTTGAGTTGAGCATAAACTCGTTACGAGTTATCGAACAAAGCAGTTTTTTAGTACTGAGTATAGTTAGGCCATGAGGCAAGAGTTGGAGGACTTGGAGGAAGCTCAGCTCGATGCCTATAACTTATTGGTGATGCAGAAAAAGATCATCAAACGAGCTTATAATTGACAAGTTAGGACAAAAGACGTTCGGCAAAGATGACTTAGTATGGCAAACCGTGTTACTAGTGGGGATTAAAGACCCTAGATTTGGGAAATGGTCGCCGAATTGGGAAGGATCATTCGTCGTCCACAAAATTCTCGGCAAGGGGGCATACCACCTCAAGGATCGAATTGGTTTGATTCATAAATTACCTATCAATGGAAAATTCTTAAAGAAATATTATCCGGTCACTTGGGAATTATTATTTTTTTTTAATTTATTAAAAATTTTTTTTTTGCCACGTGGCACAAATTTGGCAGCCCACATCATCTCTTAACGGATCAATAGATGGACAAAGTAACTGATGTATTATATTGAAATAAAATAGTACTTAAGGTATGAAAGTGAAATGTTTTGAAGATGTATGAGGTTATAATAGACCTCAAACCTAAGGTGGTGGAGTGTAATTTACCTCAAAAATATCTACTTCCATTTGGATGGCAAAGAATCCTTTCATCCCAAACCAAACGTTGCTGGCGTACATCTGTGCTGTGAACACCTAAACCAGTATTAGCATTGCTACTGCCAGCAACAGTGAGTTCGCGACTTGACCAAAAGTACTTGAGGTTGACCTAATTTTATGTTATGGATCTTGTAAAATAAATGCAATTGTTTTTTGGTACCTCAAGTAAGATTCTGTCTAAGGTTTTATCCAGACAATTTGTGTCCCTTTAATTCAACTTGTGCAGTTAAGCGGAAGATAATATCGATGCAACACTAAGAGACATGTTATCCAAGAGGTTTCTGTTTGGGGCTAGCTTCGGTTAGCTTTTCCTTGACGCCCCCAAAGAACGAGAAGAACTTTCTTGCACCGGTTGCATGAGTATGTTCATCTGTATGCCCTTTTGGCACTATTGGACTTTTAAGTTTTTGACCTGCACATAGGCATGCGCATAATGACATTGATTAGTTCATTTACGCATGGGTTTCTTGAGGTTGTGAGTTCATAGCGTGGAATAAGTGGTACCACACTACTATTTGTTAGAGTTCTGTCAAATGATCAAAACCAGTAGAAAAATAATTTCTGCACACGTTTTTCTCCTTCTATATCCTCCTATTTATTTTAGTTACTTAGCTTTTTTAACTAAATAATTTATATTTAGTTAAATAGTTAAATAGTTAAATAGTTAGTTGTTAGGATATCTCCAATCCAAGGGTGAGAGCTCTCAAATTTTAACCCCATATTTTCAATTATTTCACCTATACGTATGAGGTTAGACAATTTTTTTCCTCGAACAGTAAGAGACCTATAATTTCCACCCCCAACTTTATAATCTGTTAAACTTTTGTATTTAGTTGATCTTTTTGTTAATAATTTTGGAATTAGTTTTTGTATAATCTATGTTGTTTTATTTTTGCAAACATTTTGATGTGAAAAAATTCAAATTCTAAACAAAAAAAATTGTTGAGAAAATTGAAATTTTAATGGATCAATGAACACATGGATGTGTATTTATAGAGTTTTGGACTAGATTTGGTGTTGGATATGATTTGGTTAATAAATAATGTTATTTTCACCGTTGGATTTAAATTTCAGCCATTTGATCTTTTTATTACAGTTAAAATTAATTAAATTGAATTTGAGCCATTGAATTTAAAAAGGATATAGCTGGCGCACCACACTAGATCAAAACTCATGAGGCATTACAACCATTGGATTCGAATGACGTGCCAATCTGGGCCGTAAAACCCCTGTTTGTCGTGTACTCGCCCGCAAAGAATCCCTCTGTCATCTTGATGTTGTTGCGTAGGATCCGTGTGGCCTTGTTTCATGTGATGGAGCAGAGTTGCGTGGCGGCCCTTGGCCCACAAGGAACCTTATCCATCTTGGGGGATAGGAGAACCACATATCCACCCCCATACCCATACTCAAAATACACCTATTAGAAATGATTAGCAAAAGTGTCTGCGCATTGTTGTGGGTGTTCAAAATATTTTGATAATATGTACATACAGAAAACATAATTTATTGAAGCTATATTTATATACCTAAAATAGAGATTGGCAGTGTTCATAGTTATCAAAGAGATTGGCAGTGTCCAATTGCTCACTGCTATAAAGATAGAGATGCTATGAAGGCTATATACATGTACAGAAGTTCATAGTATCAAAATCGTTCAAATACGAAAATATACATATGCCCGTACCAAAAGCTTGGCACCGCACATCTGCTTAGTGTTTATGATTTTTCCTGGTCAATCTTTTGGTCTTTGCTTGTTTGGGAATGACCATCTTTTTCTTGGTCACCATTTTCTTTTTTGCTTTGTCCAGAATTTTTCTCTTGCTATATATTAAGCATTGGAATCGGTAAGAATTCAATATAAAAAAAAAACTAAGGACTTGTTTGGTATCCTATTTAAATTTTTTTATAATTTCTCAAAACATTTCTTAAGAATTTTTCTTGAAAACAATTTTCCTTAAAACTCAAAAACTTGTTTGGTATGCGATTTAAAAATTTTAAATCTTACAACTTAAACTGGACAAAGAGATCCAAAAAGAGAGGGTCTGAGAGAGAAAGAGGATAGAGGAGGAAAGAAAGTAAGGAGATGATTGGAGGAAAGAGAAAGAAGTGAGAGGATCGGAAGAGATAGAGAGGAAGAAGAGTGAGAAAAAGAACCGAGAAAATGAAGATAACGAATTGGAAGAAAGGCGAAAAAGGTTAAAAAATAAAAAAATAAAAAAAAAGGGTGAGAGAGAGAATAAAAGAGAGATAGATTTGGAGTGGGGGGAGGAGGGAGAGAAAAGAAGTGAGTCAGTTTAAGTTTAAAAACTCTAAAAACTCACTTTTTGTGTTTTTAGAGAATAGACTATATTTTTGAGTTAGTCTTGAGTTCAGTTTTTGAAAATAGTCATACCAAACAAGTTTTTAAAACCTAAAGCCTAAAGCCTAAAACTTGAAAATTGTTTTTGAGTTTAAAAAGTTGGATTTAAGTAGAGTACCGGATACATTCTAAATTTTTCAATCTATTTAACCAATGAATTGATGGAGGAGCGAAAAAAGAGAAACAAAAAATACGGCCATTATTCAATTATATGGAGAATTACTTGATATGTACAAAAGGTTTGAAAATTAAACTAACATTAAAATAAAAAATAAAAAAGAAAAGAAAAAGAAAAAGATGAGATGGAGTGGAAATCACATACCAACATCAAGCTTAAATTTGTAGTGCTATCTGCAATTAGTCTTATCAGGAGCTTCTGCACTGGTTGATGTCTCGGTGTTTTCCTTAGCTGCATGTACATTGTAGACTTGGGTAGATGAGAAGCAGAAGAAAATAAAAATATAAGTTAAAGTTACAACTTAACTATCTATGTTGATTCATGTCCAAAACATAATAAGAATAGCGAATCATTTTTCATCTCGTGCACTGGTTTGTCATTGTCACTCGAATTCACAAATTCACTTATTCCGAATTTCTTAGTTATGACCAGGGAAAGAATGTTCAAGCAAAAATATGTTTCTATGTTTTCCCACTAAACTACCTGTTAAACCAAATCCAAACATAAAAAAAAAATAAATAAATAAATACATTTGTCAAACCTCTTGGGCTTCAAGTCCACTAACTCCACCCCAATACTTACTGGTGCCCTTTAGTAGCCTAAATCATGTATGTATCAGTATTTGGAAAAGAAAATAAATAAATAAATACAATTTATTAGAACAAAGAATTTGGGATCAACAAAGTTTGTCCAAACTTACTGCGAGGACCAATAAACAGCAAATGAAGATAATTTTTTGTTTTGCTACATTGAGAGGGGCACCCAAACCTGATATAAAAAACAAAATATTCAGTATAGTGCAAACGATTCAATAAGTAGTATCAGTTTAGGATGCATATTCAACGCTCTAAAGCATTGAGTAGGACACCAAACTTGTCGGTATGGCGCAACTGAGGATGCAAACTTTGTCTAACTGAGCAAGGGGCTTGATATTGAAAAGACAACCAGAATGAACAACAATGTATTCACTCAAAGTAAATGTGCCTGGAAAACTCTACTCATAGTTTACAAATCTGCAATTCTCAAAGGTTAATCATATAAAATCATATGTGTGTGTGTGTGTGTGTGTGTGTGTGTATTATGTATATTATATGTATGTAGTAGCTATTATTGCTGACCTTGGCCGAAGTAGAGTTCAGTGTGATAAACTGAGGTATATTTGACATTTACCCTTATTTCCATGGCCTTAGGTGGAGCAACCTTCATCCTATCCATCACCAACGACTTCTCTAGTCTCCCATGCAACACCTGTCCCAAAATCTACAACACAGAAATCTCAAATTGAGGAGTATTAAATCTTTATCCTTAAATATCCTTCGAAAGACATGCAAAATGAAGAACAATGGACCTAGGGGCAAATAAGTTGATTGGTGTTCATAAAAAAGATATTTTAGTTTTAATTACCTTGTATTTGAGAAGAGGTTCAGAACTCTCTTCAATTTCTTTTGGTTCTGGTTTGGCTTTAGGCCTAGCCTCCATTGTTGCCATTGATAGAAGACGGGCACTTAGGAATGGAAGTGGACATGAATGAAGCTTGATATGATCTAATTATGAAAAAAATATACTAATCAAGGATAAAATTTAAGGTGCATGGACGAACTTATCCAATGAAATTATCTAAATATGTTGAGAAGAATATGATTTTTTACATATTTTCTCGACAACCAAACAACATATTTTGTCACCGATGTTCAGACGAAACCACTTCGCCGGAATTTGAAGACCGAAACCCTAAAACCTTAACACTTGAGATCGATTCGATTAAATGTGAGAGAATTTGTAGAATTTATACTTTAGTTTGAGGGTTTGGGTTTGTTTTCTTATTTTATGCAAAGAAAACTTCAATCAAATGCCAAATAAAAACTCTAGTATATTACCTGATGACAAATCGGCGAGAGAGCTTTTGGGTACAAGGGTCGGAGAGGGTTTGAAGATGAAGTCTGCTGATGCTAGGGGTGAGTCAAGACGATGTTGCAATCCGATTGTTGGCTGACGACCAATATTTCTTCATGGGTTTTCCGTCCAGATGGGTTTGCAGTGCGGCTGCGGTTGAGATTTGTTGACAATGAAGCGTTGAGCGAGAGTGAAGCAGCGATTCTGAGAGAAATTGCGAAAATGGATTTGTTGGTTTGAGGTTGTTTGCGATGATAGCGAGCAACTAAGGAGATAAAGTGGCATGAAGCAATGAGCAAAAGCGTGAGGGGGGAGTAGGCCGAAAGTGTCAATGGAACGAGATCCCACGTGTTCGGGAACGCTGCTGCACTTGACAGCAAGACGAAATGGCAAAGCTGAAAAAACCGAAAAAAACCTAGGGGTAAAATAAAAAATCGTCTGTAGCTAAGTTATAATGATTTCCCCAACGGTTTTAGTATATACGAGCAACAGTGCCCGCGCGATGCTGCGGGTTCTAAAAATGTATAAAATATGTAGAAAGTTCTAAATAAATACAATATGCAATACTATTTACATGTAGAAATCTATTTACAACCATATGGATTGGTGATTATATTGCCATTGTTCTAATATTTACATCTTTTACAAATTCAACTCCCAAATGTCCTTAACTGTACAAATTTTGTTGTATGTAATTTTGTTTACATACAAAAAATAATATTTGATGTGTATATACATACTATTTACACACAAAAATTTGGTAGATAGTCCCTATTTTACCCAATCATAACCAAACTGTGTAGTTGCAGTTGACTTTAGGTCGTCAATGGAACGAAGTACCTGAAGTCGAAGATAAACCTGGTGAATGTAGAAATCTTCAAGCCCTAAACAGAGTGGCCCTGCTTTTTGCAACAAAACAATACTTTTATTACAGAAAATTACAGGAAAAACTTTTAAAACTGGAAATAAAATTAAGTCACATGATTAGAGTACCAATTTTCCTTAACCATACACAAATAAAATTTAAATTGAAAAAAAAAAATAAAGAACAGAAAAGAAAAAAGAGGCAATCTCAAATACACAGAGAATGAAAATTCATTAAACAATTTTTTAAGCATATATAGGTTCACCCAACAGATAATCTTATTCAATCACACCATTTTAATTTATCAAATTGATTATTTAATACTGTCATGCCAAACAATTGTTCTGACAATACCCTCTCATCCCAGTACGATAAACCAAAAATTCTTCAATCTCTTGCATGTCCATTTCAGTTCTTAAAACCGCCGAAAGAAAAAATTAAAGTTTCTTTCTTACGGAAATCCACCAAAGAAGCATACATGTTCTTTCCTTGAATTATACATATATTTGAGAAGAATCAAATAAAGACTAAAATTCAAAATTCTTTCTCCCCTTAAACAAAATTCTATACATGCATGTAATAATCTTAATTTCCCGGAAGCAAGTTGGATAACGTGTAAACGTAGACAATATAATGCTCAGAAAATAGGCCATCTTTTACAGCGATAAACGGTAAGCTTAAGAAATTAAATTACCATTTCACTAGAGAAGTATAAAGTTCGAAAAGGGTAAGTAAATAGACACACAAAGATATATATCTTTGATGCACAGTCCACCCTGGTCGGCAATGGATGTACATCACCTGAAAAGCCTAGCAAATTTTCGTAATGGGGCTGGAAAATTGAAGTTTAAATAGTAAGTTAACAACTTAAAACACTAACCGGGATTGTAGCATAGCTTGTAATTTCTGCAATATAAATAATGACAAAAGGGATTAAATTCTAGAGAAGCACTTGAAAAAAACAAAAAATTTAGTGAACAAAAAAGCCATTAGCAAACCCCATGGTTGTTGTTAAGATACATATATTTACAGATATAAACTTTATCTCACCTCAAAGAGAACGGCAAACAATCACACTCAATTACCAGATGAAAAGAAATTGAACAAATTAGGATTCGGTTGGTAATAAATTGAAATGGGTTGAATATTATAACAAAATGATTAAAGAAAACACATAATTTATGTCTTTTGAGGGAAATCAAATTACCTAACTGAAATTTGTTGGAAATCAAGGGCTTTAACCTCGTGTTGGAAATCAAAGCATAATATGTAAAAGAGCGGTGACATACCTGTGGAACTCTTGAGCATGGAAAGGCTCTGGTTTCTTGCAAAACAACGGAAAATAAACCTGCCAGAAACTCGACAATAGATTGGTTAAAAAACACTTTAAAATACTCTTTGTACCACTTGGTGATGATAAACACTATTTGTTTCTGAGAGAAATCAAGCATCCAAAAAATAAATAAATAACAAATCAACTTTACATAAAAATTTATATTACCCGCCCCAAATCAACCGGAACAAAAAAACCAAAACTTGTGTTTGACATGCATAACATACTTTAACGTACCAATAATGAATTACATGCCTGGCATGGTTGGGGAGTCTGGGACAACGACAAAATAGTTGCCTCAGCTGCAATTCAATTCATATGCATCTCCTCAAGGATAACTCATATGTAAGAGATGGTGTTCGTGCCCAAACGCGCATACCTTTAAAAGCAAAGATATATGTATGCAGGTATGAATAAATGACAAAACAGCACCAACCAGCCAGAAAACGAACAAAAGTGTAAAAATGGAAGTGCAAAATCAAGCAAACATTCAAACCATTATGCAATATTGCCAGAAATAACTTAAAATATTCATTCAAGTTCAAACTTTTCCACAGTAAAATACACATGCAAAAGGTCAAGAGTCGGAGACAGTGGGAGGGATGGAAGAGAAAGAAGTGATCTAAGCGATGAGAAGCGAGAAACGCAGAGGGGCTTCCCCGATCAGAATTTGTCCCAATCAACAAACAAAACCCAGATTTCAAGAATTAAAATCATAAAAAATTCCAACAAATAAAGAGATCCCAGGAACCAAACCCATCAGTCTTTCCTAAAATCGGAGAACTCACCAGGAAACCCATGCTTTTTCTGGGTTTCACAATTTTCTTCGAATCCGAACGAGATTCAGCTGTGAGAGGGAAGGCTAAGTTTCTGAGATGTTTTCGTTTTTGAGATAGGGAAGGTGAGCCATTCATGATACTCTATGATTTCAATTTGAGGTTGAAGATTGGAACAATCTGGATGAATTTTGGTTTCGGGATTGTAGGGTTGATTTGGATGAACGCAGGTTTTTGTTTCAATTTAAGAAAACGGAGAGATTCATATGGGAAGAAATGAAGAAGCTTTGTTTTGGAAACAAATGGAAAAGCCACGATGACCAACACGTGTACATCAGGGCAAATTAGTAAATTTATTGTGCAATTCAGGAAAATATGCTGAAGATGGTTACTGCTGGAGGGGTAAATCCGTCCACACACTATAGATCAACAGTAACCCCAAACTGGGCTTTAATACATATAATATGATTTGGACCCAAAAATTTGGGGTTTTTTTGTTTCCACCCTCCCGTTGGAGATAACCTTAGGGAGAAAACCTTAGAAGGCGTTGAACATTAACAGGTCTTTTGATTGTTTATTGTTGTGGACGATACTGGCTTGTTTGTTGTTGTGAATGACACTGGCTTATTCGTTGTTGTGAACGACACTGATTTGTTCGTTGTTGTGAACCACACTAATGTTTTTGGTTTCACTTTCAGCTTTATGTGAAATAACTTTACGTGAAATATTCTTTAGTATATCCTGGCACAAAACAAATAAAGGTAGAGAAATCAATCAGATCATTGAAGACTTGAGATGCCTGAATCACATCACTCAAATTATTGACCGTGTTTGTAGACCAAATGAATAAAATATTGCTGCAATGGTTCCTGTAGGTCTTAAATGCCAAACCCGAGAGTCAAAAAATTAGTTCTCATATCATGGATTAGTGAATGGCTGCCTCAACCCAAACCACACGAACCTGGATAGGCGGGTGTTCCTAAGATTCAAATTCTGTTAATTAGGCAGCAACTATGAAAGACTGGGAAGAACCGCGAAATAAATAGAACCACAGATGGAGAAACTAGTATGGTAAATTATAAAGACATCCTGAAGAACTCTTAGACGTGTTAAAATAATTCAAAATCCAGTAATTGGATCCAGCCAGCGCCTAAACATAGAGAAAGAAAAATCAAAACCTGTTAATTGCATGTGACTCGTTAATTTGTTGTGATGAATTAAAATGTACAGTGCTCGGATACTTCAGAGCTTATTTTGCATTATTGCTGTATTTTCCCATAGTTTTAACACTTTTTAGAGGACCACGCCAAGACTTAAAAGTTCTTACATGACCTGGGTGGATGAGGAAGTTGATACAGAAAACAATTCCAAATTAACAAAACAAAGTTCTAGTTCTTACTGAAGGCGAATTTCGTTGTTATTATGAACAAAAAGAACAAATCGAGATTTGAGAGAGATCCAAAACTACCGTTGCAAAAGAAAAATCGGATCTGAGAGAAACAGATCTAGAGAGAGAGAGTGTGTGTGTAACCGGGGGGGTGAAAGCCATTGTGAAGGCCGAGAAGGAAGAGAAGAGGAACGAGCATGGAAGGAAAAACCAGACTCAACACTCCAATCACCAACCCCTTCCACCGCCGCTTCCCGGAATAACTACCGCCCGCAACCCCGCCCTTCACTGCTCCGCCAGCCCCTCCTAATCCGATTTCATTGCCGCGATTAAGCACCAAATCCACCACAATTAACACTAATCCTTCTCCTTCTCCTTCTTCTTCCTGCTCCTCCGGTTGTTGTTGCAGTGTTAATATCAAATGCGAAGTCCCACTCGCACTCGCACTCCCAAACGCCTTCGCGGTCGCCGTCGCATCAACAAGTGAAACGCAGTGCTTCCTCTGTGGCATGAATCATAATTTCTAATGATTCGATTGGTTGTTTCTGAGCTCACTGTCTCTCTCACTTCGATTCCGAATCAAAGGCTGGATGGGATGGGATTGGACTGGATTGGACAGTCCGGCACGGATTGGATTTTCCTACTTTTAGCACAACAAACGGTGATCTTGTTCTTCCTTTCGGTTAATATTTATTTATTTTTTAGGTCAGATCCAATTCTCTTATGTTTGTGAGGATATGCTCATCACTGGACTCCTCTTCCTATTTATAAAGCAAAAATAGAAGCAATATCCCCTGTATATATATAGTAACGTTATTATTTTGCATTTGTGTTTCTAAAAAAGAACATAGGCTATCTACAATAATGGAGGGCTAAACGTAGTGCTTAACCATGTTTTGGCCCATCAAATTTTACGACTATTTTAGGGCTAAATTTTTCATTTACAACTATGCAAGGCTATAATTTATTTCTCTTGATATTATATTACTTTACAAATTTAGTCCATTTTGAGGCTGCATGTTGCATTCGATGAGGCCAAACTTAGTCTGATTCTTTTAGCCTTATTCTCTTTAGCCCTTTGATTTGTGACTAATTTTGTCAATTTTAGAGCTTAAT